CCATCTACCTGGGAGCTTGGAAGAGACATTCAGAAGACAGTTTTAATCTGTCAAAAGTGTTAAGCAGAAGCCAAACAAAGTGAGTCTTCATCCCGCCGGAGCCTTCGCTCCCGAAGTGTCTACACGCCAGGTTGGCAGCACAGCTGGGACGAAGCTCACTTTAATTAATCTTGAGAATGAAACCTGGAGCTCAGACTTCTGTTCATCAAAGAAAGAGACAACAACGCGCTCTCCCCGATCCCATACTGGCAGGTACTCAGAAAGCACAGGATGAGCTGATGTAGATCGCCTGAGCCATGGAAACAGACAGTTGGATGCGAGCAGGGACTGGGGGCGGGGGAGCGCTTCCTTTACGTTGAAGAGAGACTTTTGGAGGTGTGCCCGTGGCCCAGGAAGAGAACTGCAGTTCATTTTCTTGGTGACCGAGCATCTCAGCTTCCCGCAAAGGGTTCAACCTCAGATTTGTCTTGGGAAGGTTGGTGGGGGTGGGGGGAAATGCCTGTTAAAATGCTGTCCTTGATGAGAATCAATTTGAAAATTGCTTGGAGCGATTTTTCTGCAAAGAAATTGTATGGTTTTCCCCACTCCCTGCAAAAAACATCGCTGTTAGCAGAACGTGTGCTTTAAGTTGGTTGACGAGTGGGGATGATTCGTAGTAAACCATTTGCACCCTTTAGCCAAGTCTATTGTTTTTTTTTTTTTTAATTGAGCTGGCCTGTTATTGCAGGGGTGGCTGGCTGGGGCTAGGCATGCAGTCTGTGGTGTGGCATGGATCTGCTGGCTGAGAAACCCTCATGCACAATGCCCCCCTCCCTTATCTAGAAAAAAGTGATTTACTGTCCCTAGACTTCAAATGTGCCTGCCAGTATAGTTATATCCGTCCGCTAAGAGGCTTGGAGCATCTCTGCGTTGGAGGTCTTGCCTAAACAACGTAGAAGGCCTATTGTGTACGTGTGCTTGTGTGTCACATGTGTGCTGCACATGTGTGTGCATGCGTATCCCACACATGTGAGCAGGCCTCTCACCGTGCCTCACGTGTGTGCGTGTGCCACACATGTGCTCTGATGCATCACATGTGTGCATTGTATTGTGTGTGTCTGTTGGAGAGCGCCAACTGCAGTGCAAGTTGAGGAGACCTTGAGAATCCATTTCTCCGGATACGTGGAAGGTTGGTTCATGTTAAGAAGACAGCTAAGCCTTGGTTATGTTGTACGAGAACCATTTGGGTTTCTTGTGAAAAAAATAATACCCGTGAGAAAAATATCTGTTCCCTCAGTCATGACCAGATCCCTCGCCTGGGGATGGGAACCCTCACAGGAATGGACACCCCAGCCACCTGCGAGGTCAGGGGAGCACTGCCCAGGAGCAGGTGCCCCTGGGTACCTGGGGAGCTTACAGGTAATCCCCTAGAGCTGATTGCGGGATTAGCAGGTTTTTGGGGGGACTAGCAGTTTTCCTTCAGGGTTCCCATACCGGCTACTTTGTAGTCTGTTCTTTGGAAGGACCTGGGACATCTGTGTCTCCTTTTGTTCCAGGGCTAAACCAGTCCTATTTGGTAGACCATAGCACACCCCGCTTTCTCTCTAAAGTGACCGTCACTGCAAAGAGACCTTCTCCACTGCTTAAGCAGTTGGAGGCCCCGGTCACTGAACAATTGAGTGGGCCAGCGTGTGGGAAGCCATTTTGGGTTCCTCCGTAAGTGGGCCTTACATCACGCTCCTCAACAGACTTTTCACAGAGGACAGGGGGATTCTACCTCTAACCACTACGTGCCTCTTCTGCTTCCAGTCCCAGCAGGGTAAGGAGGGGACCGGGAGCCACCTCTCCCAACCAGACACCAATATCCTGGCAAAGAGGTCTTTTTCTCCCCGCATCTGTCCCTTCAATAATGCCAAGAGAGAGGAGAGAGATGAAAAAATGAAGCCTCTCCCCTTCTCCATTTACACTCCCTCTCCACCCACCTGAAGTTTAGTGTCTGTGTCATCTGTGCTTTCATGTTTAAAGTCTTTGTCCAACGGCAGGCGGACGTTCACTGAGCCTCGTGATAAAGCCACCACGTTTCATTTAATGATATTATACTCACTTTCAATCCTGGGAGAATCAGTCATGTTTTATGTTTAGCTTGGTTAAGTCTTGGTTAATATTTAGCTCTGGTTTTAGGCATAGTCCAGACACCTACAACCTGACACAGCTTTCTAAAGTAGAAAACTGTATGATCAGCCCGTGTTTGATCGCTGCTGAGTTAAAGGAAGGGGTGGGCAGTCGTTGAGAGTGGCAGTGGGGGTGGGAGGTGTGAAAGCTTGTCCTTGAGCTGTTCTTCTCAACCCTAATAGCTGCCAACTCAGATAACAGCTATAAAAGCTTTTCAGCTGTAAGTAGAATCCAGTCCCTTGTGCCCACTTTTTAGATGAACCGCTAGAAGAAAAAAAAAAAGAGAGACTCTGCCTATGGGAATGTTCCCAGAAATTTCCTTATTAGAAGCCAAACAACCACTTAGGTAAAGGTTTCTGCTGATAGAACATTTGCTAGGAAATTTGATGTTTTTGAATCTGGCAACAATGCAGATTAGGCAAGTGATTGAGGATAAGTCATGACTTATACGCTCAAAGGCTTGGCTTGTCAGCTACTGTGATTCTTATGATGGCACATGTTTCAGAAACCCTATTTTGGACCTTCCCAACCATATAGGGAAGCTCGCGATGATCCACTTGCCATCTTGCTTCACAAGGCCAAGGTTCATTTCTGCCTTCCATTGTGACTTGACTGTGTTGATTGAACTGTCACATTCGGAGCTGACTAGGAACGTGTATCTCGACAGCCATGTCCTTCCTACCTGTCTCAGGGACCAGACTGTACACTCCTCCGGCACGGCGCTCCTGTGTAGGCCAGCTGGGGCCGAAAGCGTCAGCAGTGAACACTTGTATTCGGTCATGGAGAAGAGGTGAAATCTGTGTAATAAGCAAACAGACTCCAGTTCGCTGCCAGCTCTGGAGGTCCCATCCGCCAGTCCACATTTTCTTCTCTGTAGACCATTTATGATAGGTACATAAACGCACGCAGAAATAAAAAGAGGCACAATCGTGAGCCTGTAGAAGTTGTTACACAAAAACGCATGCAGTAAAATCCCACACCGTCACTAAAGGAAAGGTTGGCTACAAGTTCAGCTCAGGACTTCCCAGCAGCCACAAGTAAGAGAGAGTGACTCCTCCCCCTCTGTTTTCCTTCTTCTTTGTAAGAACAAGTGAAGGAAGGAAATGCAATGTCCGTCCATCATCCAGTGTCCTTGTCCTTGTGTCTTCTTAGACTGTCCCAGTCTACAACATGAACCCCACCAAAGTTTCAACTCCGTGTCTGATATTACTGAACTCTTTGTGTTACTGAAACAACCTGATATCACTGAACATAGGCCACAACATCATATCTCTCCTGGTACCTTTCTCACTAAATCCACTTAGGTTTAATCAGCTCTTCGCTACCCATTTAAGGCGTAGCTTGCACAATCCCAGGTATCAGGTATCCTAACATCAATCAAGTGCATTACTTTTTTTTTTTTTTAAAGATTTTCATTGGGGAATTGGGGGGATGGGAACAGTCTGGGGAATTGGGGGAAGGGTAACAGACAAGTTGCTGTCCTTTTGTTCTTCAGTCTAGTTGTGGAGGACGTTGCTTCACTGGCCCAAGTTGGCACCATCATTGCGCTCTTCCCGGGAGAGGCAGATCAGTCGCTGGCTTCTGGACGGCCGCTCACTGCGGCTGCTGGCTGTTCACGCTGGCTGCTGGCCACTCATGGTAGCCCATGGCAACCCACTACCACAGGGGCTGCAGCCTATGCCATCGCCGGTGACTCCTGGCAGCCCAGCTCCAGGTTGAGCTGTTGTTCAGCATCTTAGCTGTAGAGGGCAGTGTCACTGACCCTCATATGTGGGATCCGAACCGGGGCCCTCTGGCGTCCCAAGCCAGTTCTTAACCAACGCGCCACTCGGCCGGCCCAAGTGCATTACTTTTTATTCTCTCCCAGCACTCAACAGATTTATCTTCATAACGAAATGTTGAGTGGAGGCCAAGATTAAATTTTGGAATTAATGGCTGGCCAAGTGGCTCAGTTGGTTAAGAGTGCAAGCTCTGAGCAACAGGGTCACCGGTTCAATTCCCACATGGGCCAGTGAGCTGTGCCTGAGCTGAGCTGCCACAGGTGGCAGGATCACTCAGCTGGGTGAGAGCACGTGCTCCTAACAACAAGGTTGCTGGTTCGACTCCTGCATGGGATGGTGGGCTACGCCCACCTGCAACTAAGATGGAACACAGCACCTTGAGCTAAGCGGCCACGAACTGCCTACGGTCGGCCGGATGGTGACTGGACTTGGAGCTGAGATTGCTGCGCCCTCCACAACTAAGATTGAAGGACAACAATTTGGCAGTTCCCCTTCCCCAATTCCCCAATAAAATCTTAAAAAACAAAATTTGGAATTAAAATTATGTGAACATTGAATTGAAAATGTTGATTCCCTCTTGGATAAAAGAAAACAACCAGAGAGCAAGTCACCCTTGAAAGACATATTACAAAAAGCGGAGAATACCTCTTCCCATGGTAGAAACCTGACCTTCCCCAGATGGAATTATAGCCTCAGTCTCCAAGGCCCCACCTTAGAGCCTTAGAAATCGCCCTGCTAGTTGGGTACTCACCATATGCTGGGTCTGCATTTTGTTTCAAGACTTCGGATCGCGGCTTTGGACCCCGGCTTTTTTGGAGGCAGCTTCTCTGATCATGAGGCTACGAGTGTTATAGAATTACTCTATCTGCTTTGAAATCATTTTTTTTTTTAGCTGAGCCATCCTGCTACCTGTTGGCAGCTCAGCAGCTGCTCAGCTCGGGCTGGACTCGAACCGCTGTTGCTCAGAGCTCAAACTCTTGAGCGAGCTCTTAACCAACTGAGCCACTCGGCCGGCCCATTGAAATCATTTTTTACCAAGTCTCCATCCTTTGGAATCACTTCCCTGAGTAAAAATCAGCATTTATTCAAAGACCCTGGAACACCTCATATTGTAATAATGGTCAGGCTGTGTTTAAAATATTTCATTCCAAATCGTTGCTTGTTTTTATGCAAGACAATGAGGAGGAGGTGGGGAAAGGGAGGGAGGTGTCACTCTGTTACTTGTGGCTGCTGGGAAGTCCTGAGCTGAACTTGTCACCCACCCTTCCTTTAGTGACGGTGTGGGATTTTACCGCGTGCATTTCTGTGTAACAGTTTTCCCCGTAGTCTCACCTTAGAATTGTTCTTCTTTTTATTTCTGCAAGGATTTGTTTATCTGTCGTAAATCTTACTGAAAGTATTTTTCTAGGGCACAGTAAGTACTTTTGGCAGTGAGGTGGCGTGGATAATATAGACAGCTAGAAGAAGGACAGCACATTAATGATAGCCACACGTGGAGTTCCTGGTCCTTCCCACAGTCAAGCAGCCCTTGTGTAGGGAGCCAGAAGAGGGAAGCTCATTCTAGAATAGGGTAAAATCTGTACACGAGACACTAGTAGGGAGCTTTTCCTATAAACCCAGAGGCGATGCATCCTGACAAACACCCTGGAAATTGTGTTCCATCCACGAAATGGGCATCATCTCACTTCCTGTCCCTTGTACCTGAGCCCATCTACCATGTCAGGGACAAAAAGAAGTAATGCCACTGATGGTGCCTCGCGCCTGCCTATGACAGTGCTTGGGGCATAGCCGAGTCTGTGGCATTAGAGGTCAGATGCGTGACGTGTGTGTAGTGGGTGAGGAAGGTGGCATGGCCATACCTGCGAGGATGGGGCACCCTCCAGCGCTCACACCCACACACCTGTAATGCTATGTGTTTAGTGGCTGGTGCATGTGCTGATTATGTTTAGGGAACAATGTCCTCAGGTCCTTAGGATGCATTGTGATTTTCTCAGCGCCCAGCTTTGTATCGAGTCCTTTAAAAACCCCTTTGAGAGGTTGTTGAATTACATTTTCATTAGGAAGATATGTCTGGCATTAAAAAAGGCCAATTTTCATGGTTTCTAATAAAGATGCATTTTTTTCTTCATTCTTACTCATTTATTTTCATGATGGGGAGCATAAAATGGTTTCCCCACCGGAATTATAGTCTATTTTTTGCCTTTCATGTTAGTGATTCCCATCACCCCATTTCCTTTGGTTCCCTAAGAAAAATTAAAGCAATTTGAGAAGAAAAAATGCAGTGTTATAACAAAGCCCACCTTGTCTTGATAAATACAATGACTGATGACCATAACCATTTAAGTCCTTTTGGGTAATGAATAATTCTTTGATTATACCTAAGAAGAGGAAACACATGAATTTATGTCCTGGCTCCTGAAATACCTCCTCCCTTCCCCTTCTTGCTTTTATCTAATTGCCTGAAAGGAGTGAAGCAGACGCCGAGGGACAGAGGCCAGTTTTGTGAGGCTGGACGCGTACACAATTTAAGGCGCCCTCTTTCAGAAAAATAATACAAAAACATCTTCCTTTTATAATTTTGAACAAAAACATGTGGCCGTGTGAACATACTGCCCAAGCCAGCAAGACCCCTGAAGCTTAAACTTTTATTGGCTCCACGGATGGTCCATTTCTGCGGGTACCATATTGTAATTAACGTCCAGATGCACTACGCACGCTTGGATTTGCTACTTGTGTGTTTGTGTGTAGGAAATGTAGATAATGACTGTACAGGGGCTAGGGAGGAATATACAAGTATAAATGTAAGAACACAAGATTATACGTTGGGTTTTAAACACACACATACACAGATATCGTTGTCTGTTTTTGCTGAGTGTCAGCATTTCAAAGGATCATTTCCAGGCACGATCACCTCTTTTCCCAGGCTTTGAACTGTCTGCCTGCATTTCAGTGTTCCCTTTAAGGGGGAGTTAATCAACTTAACACATATCAGTCACACAGACACGCCGACTCAAACACTGCTCTCTGAATTGGACTCATGCTGAACAAATCCCTATTCTAGAAGCCAGGTGCGATAGGTGGGAAGAAGGATGTTGGTGGGGGTAGGGCGCACACTGCCAGTTGGCAGAGCTTGGCGTTCTATTGATTCATGTTCAGGCAGTTCAGATACTGGTCTGGAGGTCGCCATTGAGGAGGGTTCTCTGGGTCTCCGTGGTCTCATTCAGTCGGGATTTGTCCTGCTTACTGTCACTCCGCTCTCCGTCATCTGTGCCGCTCACCTTGACCAAGCACAGCACATTCTGGAAGCTCTTCTTGAAGTTGTCGGACAAGAAGGCATACAGGATGGGGTTGGCACAGCTATTAGCATAGGTGAGGACCACCACGAAGTCAAACATACCTTTCAGGGCTGGAGTGGGGCTGATGACCACCGACACTGAAGACACATTGAAGATGTAGAAGGGAAGCCAGCAGAAAATGAATACAGCCACCACTATGGACACCATCCGGGTGACCTTCTTCTCAGACTTTTTCCTCTTGGAGGAACCCACGCGGATCCCAGAGGACTTCACCTTGATGATAATGAACAGGTAGCAAAGACAAATGATGGTGAGGGGCACCAGGAAGCCCAGGATGAAGGCGTAGATGATGAACCCTGTGTACCATGCCCCAGATTCACCCGGCCAGTTAATGGTGCAGCTGCTCCTCCCCCACTGGTTGCTCCGAAGCCCGGCGTATATCATAATCGGCAAGATGACCAGCAGAGAGACGCCCCACACAGCCACATTGATCATCTTGGCTGTCCGGGGTCTCCTCCACTTGGCCGACTTGATGGGGTGGACAACAGCCAGGTATCGGTCGATGCTCATGACGGTCAAGCAGAAGATGCTGGTGAACTGATTGATGCCGTCCACAGTCATGACCACCCGGCAGATGGCTTTGCCAAAGGGCCAGTGGACCAGAGCCACCTGCATGGCCAAGAAGGGCAGACCCAGCATGAAGAGCTCATCGGCGATGGCCAGGTTGAGGATGTAAATGTTGGTGATGGTCTTCATCTTGGCATAGCGGAGGATGACATAAATGACAAGCGTGTTGCCGCACAACCCAATGATGCAAACCACAAAATATATGAATGTGAGAACTGCATTGCTCGTCAGATCATAGTACGGCTCTGTCTGGTTTGAGCTGTTGGCGGCTGCCACTGAGCCATTGAGGTCGAATGGAGAGGAAAGCAAGGGTTGGCTTCCATTGAGCAGGTCATATGCCATATCCATGGCTGCCATATAGTCCTAGGCTAGTTCCAACCAGCCAAAGGTCTTATTCTCACCTTAATGGGTCCCCGAGGCAAAGGGTCCACTGTGTCATCTGCAAGGGAAAATGGGAGATTGGCTCATCAGTCAGAGGCTATTTCAAACTCTCGCCAGCCTTCCATGTCTCTGGTTTACTCTCTCAGACATATTCTTCGACTGAAAATTGGGTTATCTTTCCCCATCAATGTAGAGCTATGAGCCCATTCTCATCAGGGTGCAGAATTTTTGAATTGTTTGTCCAGTAGTGGGGAAAGGTCTGGGTTAAGCCATCACACACATGTGGGAGCTGACTGTGGCTACAAAAGAAGTGTACTTTGATCCCTAAGAAGTTGACTGGGCTGAACAGTAAAAAGGCAGAGCATGGAGAAGTCCAGCCTCTGACCTCCGAGGGGTCTCACATTCACGTTCTTGGCTTTTCCCCATGAGGAAATCTACCCTGACCTGCCGACTTCTTTGGAGGTTTTCCATTCTGAAAACCCATTAGTGGAAAAATCCCAGACTGTAGAGGTACAACAAACCAGGGTTCCACCACAGAGCCCATGTGACCTTATGCGCATCACCTAACTGCTCTGGCTCTCATTTGTTAAAATGGGGCGTCATGAAGGTTAAATGATGAAACATATGTGAAAAACGCCTCACATTGTGTTGGGCTCATGACCGGAGCTCAGTAAGTGTTACCTTTCCCCCGTTTTCCCTCTGCCATCTCATTTATCTCTCTTATTAAAATCTGCCTACATAGAATGAACCAATTTAGTCTTACGTATTTTTTAAAAATCTGGCTTGCTTTCGTTTTTAAAATGTATGTTTTAGTTTATTTTTGTTTCTGCTATTTCTGTTTCTCCAATATCCTGTGCTTTTCCGCCTTGTTGCCTCGGAGCTTCCTCAGCAGGAAGCTTGCCTCCTAACACCCCAGAGAATTTGCCTGCGATCCCTTTGGATTAAGGACAAAAACAGGAGCCACGTTCATTCACAGAAGTGAACCGAAGGTTCCAAACACGGATGTAGCTCATTCACATTCACTGTCCCCTTGATCTTCCCCACCACCCTGTGAGGCGGGGACAATTGTCTCCATTTTGCAGATGAGGAAACTGAGGCTTAGCGAGTTTAAGCAACTTGCTCCCATTCCCTGCACATCATTGGTGGTGGAGCTGGGATTTGAACACAGGACACCCACAACTTCTGCGTTTTTCACAGCACCACATCTGCTGCCTAGTGGACAGGAAAGCTAGCAGCTGATGATGGGGCTTTGGTCTGAAGCAGCTGACTCTGTTTTACCTCCGTGCTGAGAAAATAATTGTAACACTATTGGCTTGGCCTGAGGTATAAGACAGTAGCTTTTCCCATAATTAAATGACTGATCTACAGTCACTCAAAAACCATCACTGGGGCCGGCCGAGTGGCGCGATGGTTAAGAGCTGGCTTGGGACGCCAGAGGGCCCCAGTTCGGATCCCACATATGAGGGCCAGTGACACTGCCCTCTACAGCTAAGATGCTGAACAACAGCTCAAACTGGAGCTGGGCTGCCGTGGGTCGTTGGTGACGCCGTGGGTCGTGGGCGACGGCGTAGGCTGCAGCCCCTGTGGCAGTGGGTTGCCATGGGCTACCGTGTGTAGCCAGTAGCTGCAGTGAGCGGCTGTCCAGAAGCCGGCGACTGATCTGCCTCGCCCGGGAAGAGCGCAATGATGGTGCCAACTTGGGCCAGTGAAGCAATGTCCTCCACAACTAGACTGAAGAACAAAAGGACAGCAACTTGTCTGTTCCCCTTCCCCAATTCCCCAGCACTGTTCCTATCCTCCCAATTCTCCAATAAAAATCTTAAAAACAAAACAAAACCATCACTGGGGGCTTCTTTATTCGAGATGGGCCGGGAAGCCAGCTCATGTAAGGTGTGAATTGCAGCAAGAACAAAGGATTTAAGAATGCCTTTTGCTCCTGAGGTGTGCAGAGGAGGCTTGGGAAGGGGAACGCTTGAGCTGGATGTTGACTATATGAAGAGGGAAGGTGGTAAAGGGATGGTGTGTTCGGCACACAGTGGGAATAATTCGCTTGGCGGGCACGTTTCCCCTGAGCAGGGCACTCCTCCTGGTGCCTGAGTGAAGATTGGAGATTGCTCCTTTAGGCTTGGAGAGACTCCTGACGACTCGAGGGGGACTTAGCCGGCAACAAGTACTGAGGATCCTTCTTTGCCTCTGACTCATTTTGCCCTGCCTGGCGCATCGCTTCGTGTCTCTGCGCTAATCTCCCCATCACACAGTTGTCTGTAACGTGGAATCTGGGCTTTGTGGCTGACCTTTCTGCAAAGTACTTTGGGGGACCTGGGATTTAATGTCTGCCTTGGGTAAAAAGCACAAATTGGTAGCTATTAAAAACAGGAGCTGTAAAGAAACCACATATATATATATATATCTCTATATATATCTATATACACACACACATACATATACATATATATATATATATATATATATCTAGATTAACTTGGGTTGTTTCCACTGTCACTTATAACTGGCTTGTCAGTTACTTGAATTCTGCAGACCCAGAATTCTATTTAAGCCGCCTGCGTTGGAGTGCAGTTAATCATTAGCATTTCCCGGGTCCCGTCTGTGTAATACACAAGGTCCCACCCCCATGTCTGGGTAAGACTGAAGACCCCTGGGCTGCAGCAGCCCTGTCTGGCGTGTTTTGGGGTAGGGGTGATGATGGTGCCGGCATGCGCTGGAGGATCAAATGTTGATCCCCAGACCTATATGTGTTTTTGGCTGGCGTCTCACCCAGTAAGACGGAACTGCATGGGGTCAATTGTTTTCTGAAATAGGCTGAGAAGTAGTATTTCTCCACTTTTGGACAAGTGGAGATGAAGGGGGCAGAGGCGGCCGACTGGGGAGCCAGTCCGGACTGGGCAGGCTCCTCCAAGGCGGAAATGGGTTTATCAGTGGATCTCGTTTTATCAACAATCAAGGCAGCTGCCTAACTAAGGTCTCTGAGGGACCTCTGCTTCATTGGGGTCCCATCAAAAGTGGAGTCCAATGTTGGGTGGTCAGTACTTGTTGAATTGTGGCTAAATGAAGTACACAGGAGGTTTGGTTTTGTGCTTTTTCATTTTTCCAGCCTAAGAATTGATAGTGGAAATGGCTGATTATTGGTTTCCTCTGACACTGGGTCCCGACTCTGTTGGAGAGAAGGGTGAGAATGGTCTCACACATCCCCAGCCCTTACCAGAGGGGCTGTGATTACCAGCCTAAGAACTGAGTGTCGGGATGGAGACCAGGCAGCAGCGGTGGTGCTATTTACTACTGCGCTTTAGTTTTTACTTTCTCCCTAACATCTTTCTCCTATTCTGCCCCCACCCCTACTTCCTTCGGGGTTTGCGAACCTGAGTGGATCTCGGCATGGCTGGAGCCTGAGTCCCACTGGTGGGGAGACACCATTGCCAGGTGCGGGCCACCGCAGCGCTAGAGCTCCCAGGAAACGGCTAGGAGCCGCCGGCAGAAGGGCATGGGGGGAGAGGTGACATTCCGGACCACCCAGTTGGTTCCCCCGCTGGTACAGAAAATCCTCTGCCTGTTCATCCAACTCTCTGACCTTCAGATCCAAGGGTTTCCTAAAGGGTTCCCTGCTATTTCCAGGAGGAAGGGGGTGGGGATCGAACATTGTGGTGCCAGGACCCCCAGCCTCTAAACGCAAAGGAGGGTGGAGGCGTCAGAGACTGCTGAAAGCGGGTGACAGACGTTTGGTGGACTTGACTGGTGGCTCCCTCCTGGTCGCGGGCCACTCAGTGGTTTCTCTCTAAACCTCGGCAAGCTGTCCCCTCAGCCTGGGGGTGGGGTGGGGGGTGGGGACGGACCCTAGACCATTCCGGATCCGTCTCCTAGGCCAGGCAGGGAGGAACAGAGAGAAGCCCCTTTTCTCTGCTCGGGCGCCTGCTCCTCAGAGGCTGGGATGTCGGGGTGCACACCCGCAGGAGCGGGGGCAGCGTCCTCCCCTCACCCCCCAATGGCCTCGCTCTCTTCTAGTTGGGCCCTTTTAAAGGCGGCTGGGAGAGAAGTTGTCCCCGTTGCAGCCACCACCTGGATACTCGGTTGGGGGACCAGGACTGACAGGGGCGCACGCCACACACACTGGCATGCGGCTGTGCAGACACGTTGGTTCCAGCACACACGGTCCACAGCCCCCGACTCGCGCCCGGACACCCCCAGTCTTTCATTCCCACCCAAATCACCCTCAAATGGCACAAGGGCGGCGAACCACGCACTGGGACCTACACTCAGGTACACCGAGGCGAGCACCGCCGTGCAGCGCAGAAGCACCCAGCTGCCCAAGTGCGCGACCGACACGCGTGCTCTCTCTGTCTTTCTCTCTTCTCACACGTACACACACACACACAGAGACCCCCCCCCCCTCACCTTTTCTTTTCCGATGCAATCCCCTCGTTCAGCTCGAAGGCACCAGCGGCTGTCCTCAGCCCAGCCCGGCGCCAGGGCGCGCAGCAGCTTTGCTGGCACCCTGCGATCGGCGTCTGGACCTGCCGGCTCCGGCTCGCCCCTCGCGCCGCCGAGAGCTCGCCGGGTCCGCAGACTCTGAGCGCCGAGCTGCAGATGGAGGCTGCAGGCGCGGGTGGCTGCGCCGCCTGCACTGGCCCTGTGGAGCCGGGCCCCTCGGCACAGTCCCCCTCCCGGTTACGTCACGGCAGCTTCGCTCCGCCCGCCGGCCCTGTGGGAGGACGGAGGGTGAGCCGGGTGGAGGATCCTACTGGTCTGTGGCTGTGGGCACAGCTTGCGGGCATGGGGAAGGGGGACCCGCATGAGGGGGCGTGAAGGGTCAAGCGACTTCAGTCAGCTGCCGCAAGGCTGGTGGCAGCGACACACGCTGCTTGTCCTCAGGTTTCACAGAATCGGTCCTTTTTCACCTAACATATGACAGGCAGCTGGAGTGGCTGCCGGGGTGACCCAGAGTTGCTTCGGTGCCTCTGGCATCCCAGATAAGTTTGCAGAGCTGTGTCTACTGTGGGTCATCCCTGGGCACAGGGCCAGGGGAGGGACAGGGACAAAATGGGTCCCAGAGCCAGCCGGTCTCTGCAGTGATCAGCGCCCCTTGGCACAGCGCGTGAGCCTGCATTTGGGTCCCAAAACTCACTGCAAGGTGCAAGGTGCTCAGCAGGGGGGCGACTCACCCCAGCTGTCCCAGCTTTCCACAGCTTGGAGGCGCAGTGGCCACACCGCCAGTCGCCTTCTGTAACCTGTCAGTGGGCACCTGCTGGCTGGAGCCGGCACAGCCCCGCGTCCCTCCACCCCCCCCTGCTGTGAGGGAGCAAAGGGGAACAGGGAAGAAGTGGGGTAGCGCCACATCAAGTCGCAGCTATTTATTCTTTGACTCTGATGATTCAGCCTCTGTTCCAATAGTTTAATAAGTCATAATCAATCCCACAGGCTCCTCTTCGTTTTCCTCCTCCAAACACACACACACACACACACACACACACACACACACACACACACACACACACACACACACACACACCCTGAGTACAGTGTTAGAGGACGGGAAACAGCAAGCGAACGCCAGCTATGGTTTTCTCTGCGGGCTGAGCTGCCTTTGTTCATCCTATGACCTGGCTTCCAATTCACTGGTGACAAGTCCCAGTCCCAGGCTGTTTAGTAGGCAGGGTAAGTCCTAGAGATGGGTGCGTGACATGGGAAGGGAACCACTGGGTAAGGTAGCAGTCAGCTGGGCGAAACAGTATCTTGGGGTATCCACTGCATCTTGGGGGACCCACTGCGAGGGTGGACATCAGGGAGTTTCATTGGATTTCTCTGAGGTGTTGGTCATGATGGGGCTTGCGTCTGTCACCCTGGAGCTCAGGGACCATGCGAGTTGAGCCAGTGACTGCCTCATGTCTCAGCCCACCTGGGAGCCAGCTTCTCTTCAGACGTGGGATAGAGGGGCTGGGGCGGGTAGCTCACTTGACGGGGGGTGCCCCTGCTCACCATTAGCTGGAAGAGGGAGAGCAGAGTGGAACTGAGCTCAGAACTCCGCGCACTGGGGACCCAGCTGCCACTACAGCACCTGTTGCCACGTCTGGTTAAAAACCAGTGACTCAGCTGGTTTCCAGCAAAAGAGGAGGAAAAGGAAAACCCAGGAAGTGCCCACTCCACCCTCATATTCCTTTCCCTGGAACCACGTTATCTTGTCAAAGGTCTTGAACTATTGATGCTGAACTCGTGGATCATTTTAAAAGAAGTAACCACAGTGTTTTTAATTTACATGAGAAACGAACTCCTGGTTCTCAGTGTCCCTCGCCTCTCACAGTGACTCTGATAGGACAGTGCATGGGTTTTGTTGTGGTTTTTGTAATAGTTTTAATATGAGTACTAGCAGCAAAATCAGACTGCTCCTGGGGGAGCAGCTGAGTTACCATCTCCCTTCAAGACAGCTTAGGCCATGAGTTGCCACCCCCTGTATGCTTATTGGTTTGCAACCTTGGGAGTTCCCTAGGTGAAATTTGAAACCGCCTCCCGACCCCTGCACTGTGCACACAGGGCAAGGTGAGGCCGAAGAAAGAGGCAGGCCATTCCAGATCGGTAGGTGGCATTTCTAATAAGCACGGGAACCTATGTAAGAGGCTTGGCTTGGGCACCAAGAGACGAGTAGGTCTCCACCCCGCCTGTCAGCATCTTAAAGTGTGTACAGAGGCCTTAACGGGATGGTCTCAACTACACATTGCTCTGTCAAGGCTGAGTCCTTGAAGTGGCTCCTAGTGTGGGAATAGTGGGTGGACCTTAGATTCCCAGGACATGGTGTGGGGAGGAGCCTCTGATGGCCAGGGCCCAGCTCATGGGTCACCCGGCAGCCATGTCTTCTCGATGACCACCTCCAAGAAGACGCCGTCTCTTGGGTGATCTGATGCAGTGAAGTCCCCCGCTTCCACAGCCCTTCTCTTGTGAGCCTTTCCTCTCCCTGCCCCCACAAGTCGGGGTGGGTGGACCCGCCTGGAAACATACTGTCCTGATCTAGGCACACCTGTCTCTACTGTAGGCTGGGTGAGAGGGGCCTGAACACTGACCTTGACAGCAGAGAATGTGTAATCTAGAACAACTGTTGATTTTGTCCAGATAACGCAGGCCTCCTCCTCCCCGCCTTTGAATGCCTCGAAAGAGTTGTTTGACTTGGGTGCTGCCTGCACTCAGCGGCTGCCCTCGGGTTCCAGCACCCCATTTCACCCCTTAATGGCCATCCTTTTGACTCCCCCTCTCCATCTGCTGAATGAAGTCTGCGTTGTGGCTCTGGGGCGCCTGTCCTTCCTCTCGGCTCGGTGAGTAACTAAGTAACCAAACCTTGAGCCAGACAAATCGAGGGGTTGGGGAGCAGATAACCTCCGTACTGGCTTGTTTGATATCTTTAAAGCAATTAAATAATACCCCTCCCTCTTGCAGCAGTTATCAGAGAGACAATAGGCAGCAGGAAATTAAGCACAGGAGCAGGACAAAGGGGCGAGGCGGGTGCTCAGCCTGCAGCACAGGGAGATGCTGCCGAGTTCACTCTTCTGGGGGGAGAAGTTTACAGCCTAGAAGCTCCGACGTGAACACACGGTCCCAAGGAGGTCGGGATGTCTCTTCGCGGCTTCATGAATTAAACTGGGCAATTGTTACCCTGCAGTCGCTTCCGTGGATGTAAGCCTCGTAACGGAGGCTGGAGGACTGCAGGAGGGCCCTGGGCCGAGGGTTGGACGGGGTTGGGAATGGTGAACGCCCATCTAAGCAGCCAGTGTGGTTTTTGTTGTCTCCATGGGAATGCCAAGGACTCGTATGAGGTTTGCCATTTTCAGTTGGCGTGAAAAAGCGCCGCGTTCTTGTGCAGAGAGCATACAGATGTGCAGAGGCCCAGAAGGTCCCCGGTGTCATGATCATACTATCTGGACTTCCGGGACACTCCTGTTTTCCGCTGTTCCGTCCCTTTTCACCCACAAACTGTCTGCATTTTACCCAAATTGAGATGCCAGCTTCTCAGGTGTATGGCCCCACATTCCATCGTTATGCAGGTGGAGATACCAGGCTCCGGGGCGGGGGGCGGGGGCGGTGACTTGCCAGGGTCACCTACCTAGAGACGGGAACGTTGAGGGTTGAGTCAGCCCTTCTAGATCGCAGACCCAGGCCCCGCCCACGGAGACGCCCCCCCCAACGTGGTGTGCGAAAGCTGGAGGAGAAGGTTGCCGCCCGTCCCACCACCCGGCCCCGCCCTTCCGCATCACCAGCACACTCTTCTGATGACCAGGGCGCTGCGGCTCCTCCCTGGCCTAAGTCCTTTGTCAGTCCCTTGGTAAGGGAGTCGGAAAACGCGGCCGCCCCGCTCTGTGGTTTTGTCCAGAGTGTGCCTCTTAGGGCACCGATTCCGTAAGATGCGCTGCAGAAACAGAGCCCAGAAAGTCTAGGAAACGCATGCGCTCCTTTCCTGAAAGATCCATGCTTGTTAATGGCACAGGTACCATTTATTAAGTATCTGTTATGTGCATGGGGCAGCTGAGCGTTTCCGCACATTTGTTGTCTCATTTAATCCTAAATTTTGGTACGTACCATTATTATTGCTAATATGGTTATTTTGAGAAGCCTTGCGGTGAAGAGACCTATTTACCATATTTCCCCGTGTATAAGACAGCACCCTTTGTTCAAAAATTTTGGGGTCTAAAAACTGGGTGCGTCTTATACAGTGGTTGTAGATTTTTTTTTACTTGCATTTCCCGCTTTTTTTGTGCTTGTTTTTGCGCTCATACAACCACTGTATAAGACGCACCCAGTTTTTAGACCCGAAAATTTTTGAACAAAGGGTGTGTCTTATACATGGGGAAATATGGTATCTTAAACCCAGTGTTTCCCCCAATTTGTTTAGCCATGGGAACCTATCCTGTGAGCCATTTTTAACTCTTTGTTGAGTGCTACTGTGTGCCAGGCACTGTGTAGGACCCTTTACATTAACTCATTTAATCATCACTGAAACCTTGTGAAGCACGGCACTGTGATTACTATCCCCATTTGTGAATGAAGCATCCAAGGCACAGAGAGGTTAAGTAGCCTGCCCAAAGCCACACAGCTACCGAGTGAAGCGCGATTCTGCAGAGCAAGGTGTCTTGGAGAAGGCTCCTTCCTTCCTCTCATCACTCTTACAGGCTGATTCAGGTGGAGAAGGGGCTATTTCTTCCACCAATGAATAGCCCTAATTGTTTTAAGCTCTTAACCCTTCAGTTTATTTCTCAGGGTGTCTGTTGATGAGTTCTGGATGTCTTCCGAGTTCTCTGAGGCCCTGGCAAGCATCCAGTATTCCTAGGACCCCTTTTTCTCTCCCTTCCAGACTGAGCCAGGTAACAAGTGTCTGGTGCTTTCCTTCTGTGTGACCTGCCCCCACCCCGCAATGCCGAATCGCCTAATTAGCCTGCTCCCGGGCAGGCTTCTTCCTGTGAAATAGGACCTGCTTTGAGGGTTAAATTTATAGACCCATGGAAGTCAAATGGGCTTCAGAGGGCACCTGGTTCAGGGCTTGCCAACCAGGCTGCACGTCAGAATCCCATGGGAGTTTCAAAAACTAAAGACGCTCCGGTCCATCCTTCCCTATTATGTAAGGGTCCTGGGATGGGGCCCAGGTCATTTTTTAAAGCTCCCCTGATGATGTCAAT